CCCGGAAGACCCACACCAGCCATCGTATGCCGGCCGTGAAAGCCTTCGACAATACAATGCCCTGACAAATTTTGTCCTGCTACATTCTCAATGTTGCTTTCATCACACCCCCAACCTGTAACTGAGCAGTCAAAATTCTGACGTCAAAGTTACATTTTTCCTTTAAAGCAGGCAATAAGCAATGGCAGCTTTGTCATAGGTATAGTGTGACATGTTTCATCAACTCTCTGCTTAGTGTTAACAGGTGACCCCAGGATCAGCCTGGTACCTACTGGGAACTTTAAGCTGGTGTGGCATCTCCTTACCTCTGATCATTATCTTCTAGTCCATTCTGCTTTGAGCGATGAAAGAGTTGAGTTCTTTCCAGCCAGCCTCTTCCCATTTATCCACCAGGTCTCCAAGGTGATCCCCTTCTCAGAGACCTGGATCAACCTGTAGGGCAATTGACCAGCAGGAGGGTGGATTTCTATAGCAAAGTAAGAGAGAGAGAGCTGGTTCTGGCTCTGCTGCATCATGGTGCAACTCCTCTCATGCTTGTTAGTTGCTGTTTGGGCTGCTTTGGAACATGGATTTAGCATTCTTCCAGATTAGTTCTAAATTTGTGTCCAAAAAGAGCCTGGGGATCAGCTGAGGATCAAGTAATTGGGCTTCCTTTGAACAAACCCTCACAAACACTTGCATCAAACCAGAGCAATTTTTAACAGAGGCCTAAATCTACTAATTTGCTGATGCTTTCAGGAGGCTCCTTTGGCTATCCTCCTACAATCTTTTACAGGCCTCCAATTCTGATGTAAATGGTTTATGCTTGAATTCTGAGGTATGTAACCAAACCTTTTTATGTGGGACTCTCTTGATCTAAGTAGCGTGGACCTTAATGCTTTCTTTTGAAGATTGTTTCCTGTAAGTGACCAATAACTCAGTTTAGGTGTCCCATCTTGCTGCTGGCTACCAGCCCCAGGAGAAGAGGGAATTGCCTGCTCAAGCCACTGTTCTTTTATGTTGAGCTCCCTGAAGAATGGAACAGTGTGTCCCATGCCTTAAAAGATCTGTGACTGAATCCAGGGGGATACAGTATCCCTCTTTAGAAGGTGAAATATGCTTGATGTCCAGCCCCAGGTAAGAGGTACCTTTTTTACCTTTCTCAACAATATTTTCTAAAAACTTGCAATAATAGGTGCCTAAGGAGAGTTGAGCTGATGCTAGGGATTCATTGGAATGATTTTTAGTGTTGGTAAGTAAGACAATGCTTTATTATTACTCATGCATATATTCTTTCATTGTGGAATGTAAAATTATTGAATGTTTAAGTTTTGAAGAATGCACTTAGAAATATAAGAACAGTTCTTTT